GATGAGGGCCCGGGACTGTGGCCTAATAATATTTTTCTCCTATTCATCTCAGTTCTGTCTCAGGTAGAATGAAGACAGGGCGGGAAGCAAGGGGACTGATGTGAGTCCTGGCCCAGCCACATGCCCCACCTCTGGGAGAGTGTAGAAATGGCAGAATTCAATGAAGAATCATACTTCACATACCATTCGTAACCCGTTCCCCCCACTCTCTTATATTTTTTAAGAATTTTACCACTTTCTTCAGCTTCTTTGATTTCATATATGCACAGTATTCTAGAATTTAGATGTACTAGTAATTTATTTGTCAATCCCTCATCATTGAACACTTATGTTATTTACAGTTTTTTACTGTTTTAAGTAATACTGCAATGAAAAGCCATGTGTGTGACTCTTAAAATACAATATTGACTGCTTGGGATACATTTTTAGAAGAGGATTTCCTAAGGGTTTATTTTAAAGTTGATTTTGGAGATGTAAAAAGCAGTCTCCCAACATGAGCTTGTGTGGGAGTGAGGGATCCCTCCAGGAGGGCAGAACCACATCTGCCATTTGGCACTGTACTTCCCAGCATTTTAGTACTGTGCTCCACCTGCAGTAGGTGCCAGTCAGTATTTGTTGAAAGGTCACATGAGTGTTTCCAGAGATGCCTTCACATTACAAAACTATGCAGACATTTAGAAAGGTTAGATGGGAGTAGAAAATCAGGAGGAATAGTATCAATAATAAATTTACCCATCGATGAGGGCAAGCAAGTATTGTTTGCTACACTCAACATCCTAGGATTTCCCTTTATGTTTTGTGAATGCCACTGACTGATGTTTTCTTTTTTTATTCCACCAGAGGGCAGTGTTCCAAGGATTATCACAGGAAGCATTGTCTGCCTGCATTCAGTCTTTACTTGGAGCATCAGAGTCTATCAGCAAAAAAAAGGTTTGATGCATGCAGTGTTAGGTGAAATCTTATTACCTATTGTAATATTGTGGAATATAGTGTTTACTTAACGGCACAAAAACTTAAAACCATTTTAGCAATAGCACTTCTTGGTTTAATATGATTAAATTTTGAGGCCTTTTGAGAGAAGCTAGTATTTCATTAGAGCTAAATAAAGAATCTAACTTTTCTAAAATACTAAAGATAGTGCTTAAGGTATGGGTGCCTTAGCAACTGGGAAAGTACTGCTGTTTCCCTGGAATACCTAGAAAGCATTTTCAAGGAACTGTAGCAATTCATAATCATCCCCACAATGATGTTTCAGTAGTTGAACAGCTTCACTTAGAGGAAATGAGCCGGTCTATTTTGAGGACAGGCAATTGTGGCCCTCGCTTATATGATTAGAAGTAGTTGCTATGACTACATGGCTTATAGTTTATCATCAAGAAGGAATATGGGGCTGAGGGCAGCTGAGATTTTTCTTTTCAGGACATGCAAAGCATGGTCAGAAGTGTTGCTGTGGGTGGCCTCTGTGGCTTAGTGGCTAGGGCGCTGGCCCTATATACTGAAGGGTGGGCAGGTTTGAATCCACCCCGGCCAGCTAAAAAACAGCAATGAGAGTTGCAACAAAAAATAGCTGGGCATTGTGGCGGG